TTAGATTTTTTACCAAATGCCCCAAAACTTCAACGTTTTCCATAGCCAGCATCATAAAAAAAAAGTCAGTTTTTGACCCAAAAATCCAACTTCAACAAATTTGCTCAAAAGTTTACACAAGGTGCCTAGAGGCCAGAATTGAATTCCCTGAAGAGTTCAACTCATTACATTCAGTATCCAGTGAGAAAAGAACAATTTTAGATTTTTTACAAATGCCCCCAAAACTTCAACGTTTTCCATAGCCGGCATCATAAAAAAAGTCAGTTTTTGACCCAAAAATCCAACTTCAACAAATTTGCTCAAAAGTTCACACGAGGCGCCTAGAGGCCAGAATTGAATTCCCTGAAGAGTTCAACTCATTACATTCGGTATCCAGTGAGAAAACAACAATTTTATATTTTTACCAAATGCCCCAAAACTTCAACGTTTTCCATAGCCGGCATCATAAAAAAAGTCAGTTTTTGACCCAAAAATCCAACTTCAACAAATTTGCTCAAAGTTCACACGAGGCGCCTAGAGGCCAGAATTGAATTCCCTGAAGAGTTCAACTCATTACATTCGGTATCCAGTGAGAAAAGAACAATTTTAGATTTTTTACCAAATGCCCCAAAACTTCAACGTTTTCCATAGCCGGCATCATAAAAAAAGTCAGTTTTTGACCCAAAAATCCAACTTCAACAAATTTACTCAAAAGTTCACACGAGGCGCCTAGAGGCCAGAATTGAATTCCCTGAAGAGTTCAACTCATTACATTCGGTATCCAGTGAGAAAAGAACAATTTTAGATTTTTTACAAAATGCCCCAAAACTTCAACGTTTTCCATAGCCGGCATCATCAAAAAAGTCAGTTTTTGACCCAAAAATCCAACTTCAACAAATTTGCTCAAAAGTTTACACAAGGTGCCTAGAGGCCAGAATTGAATTCCCTGAAGAGTTCAACTCATTACATGCAGTATCCAGTGAGAAAAGAACAATTTTAGATTTTTCACAAAATGCCCCAAAACTTCAACGTTTTCCATAGCCGGCATCATAAAAAAGTCAGTTTTTGACCCAAAAATCAAACTCCACCAAATTTGCTCAAAAGTTCACACGAGATGCCTAGAGGCCAGAATTGAATTCCCTGAAGAGTTCAACTCATTACATTCGGTATCCAGTGAGAAAAGAACAATTTTAGATTTTTACAAAATGCCCCAAAACTTCAACGTTTCCATAGCCGGCATCATAAAAAAAGTCAGTTTTTGACCCAAAAATGGAACTCCACCAAATTTGCTCAAAAGTTTACACAAGATGCCTAGAGGCCAGAATTGAATTCCCTGAAGAGTTCAACTCATTACATTCAGTATCCAGTGAGAAAAGAACAATTTTAGATTTTTCACAAAAATGCCCCAAAAATTTCAACGTTTTCCATAGCCGGCATCATAAAAAAAAGTCAGTTTTTGACCCAAAAATCAAACTCCACCAAATTTGCTCAAAAGTTCACACGAGGTGCCTAGAGGCAAGAATTGAATTCCCTGAAGAGTTCAACTCATTACATTCAGTATCCAGTGAGAAAAGAACAATTTTAGATTTTTTACCAAATGCCCCAAAACTTCAACGTTTTCCATAGCCAGCATCATAAAAAAAAGTCAGTTTTTGACCCAAAAATCCAACTTCAACAAATTTGCTCAAAAGTTTACACAAGGTGCCTAGAGGCCAGAATTGAATTCCCTGAAGAGTTCAACTCATTACATTCAGTATCCAGTGAGAAAAGAACAATTTTAGATTTTTTACAAAATGCCCCCAAAACTTCAACGTTTTCCATAGCCGGCATCATAAAAAAGTCAGTTTTTGACCCAAAAATCCAACTTCAACAAATTTGCTCAAAAGTTCACACGAGGCGCCTAGAGGCCAGAATTGAATTCCCTGAAGAGTTCAACTCATTACATTCGGTATCCAGTGAGAAAACAACAATTTTATATTTTTTACCAAATGCCCCAAAACTTCAACGTTTTCCATAGCCGGCATCATAAAAAAAGTCAGTTTTTGACCCAAAAATCCAACTTCAACAAATTTGCTCAAAAGTTTACACAAGGTGCCTAGAGGCCAGAATTGAATTCCCTGAAGAGTTCAACTCATTACATTCAGTATCCAGTGAGAAAAGAACAATTTAGATTTTTTACCAAATGCCCCCAAAAACTTCAACGTTTTCCATAGCCGGCATCATAAAAAAAGTCAGTTTTTGACCCAAAAACCAACTTCAACAAATTTGCTCAAAAGTTCACACGAGGCGCCTAGAGGCCAGAATTGAAT